CCCCTCTAAGACTGAAACTCAAAGGGAACACATGAGCAGGCATGCAAGCTTGCTGGTGACCACATTGGTTTACTGGTGAGTGGAAGAGAGGGAAAGACAGTAATGAAGAAATGGGCTGAGTTCAACCATGTTTCTTAGACTCCTGTTGACCTGGAGATGAGAGAGAGAAGAGGAAGGGCTGGTTGGTCCAAAGTGTGGTGAGACCTAGGGACACCTCAGCCCATGGACAAGGACATAGCCACAGAGGGCTAGACCTGAGAGTGAAGCATCCAGCTGATATGAAGGGAGGAGAGATGCACAAGAACACCCAAACTTGCAGATAGTACCCATCTAACCTAGCCTCAATGGCTTGATAATCAGAACTTGACTTGTTGTTAAGTGCCATCGAATCGGTTCCGACCCATAGCAACCCTGAACAGGGTTTCCGAGGCTGTAAATCTTTACGGGAGCAGAAAGCCCCATCTTTCTTCTGCAGAGCAGCTGGTAGTTTTGAACTGCTGACCTTGTGGTTCACAGCCCAATTCGTAACCACTACACTACCAGAGAACTTGACTAGAGGAAGATAAAAAGGAAAACAATTTTTGATAAAGGAAATGAGTATAAATTGCTACAATTTGATGAACTTGACCTATGCTCATGGAGGTAGTAGTTCAAAATACCAACAGAGAGGGAAGGAATAGTCACATCAAATATAAATGCTATCCCCTCTGTACACAGGGTAGATAGGAATGGGCAACTTAGACATTGGCTACCTAAAATGAGGGGATGATAAAGGCACGAAGTGACTGGCTTACAGGGTTTCAAGAGGGAGTTTAGTTTAAGAGTGTGTGGGGGAAGACAGAGTCCCCACTGAAAAGTTTTCATCTTGTCTAGATAGGTCTGGTAAAAAGAGATGGGGATAAGATTCCTGAGATTCAATAGGGAGTAATTGTTATCATAACTAATTGTGGCTGTCACAATTGTAAAGGTAGAAGTTTTGTATCAAATGGGGGAGTAGTTAATCTTACAGTCCAGAAACAGAGGGCCCTAGGACCATCAAGGGAGAAGAGCACAAACGGAATACTGGACCTTATCCAGAGAAGCAGTGACACCAGAGATGGGGACATGGAGAGAGGGAGCATCTTAGGACTCTAGATTCATGGGAAGAGAGGGACTGAGAGCTGGCGGCCAAGAGGCAGGCTTGCAGAATGTGCTTTTTGGTAGTTTAAATTATTATATATCACTGAGTGTTTAAAAAAAAAAAAGAGTTAAAATGAATAGAAAGCAATATTGTTAACTGATGTACATGGAGGGAATTATAATCATTGTAATAAAACAAATTATATGATTTGTTGAGTATAAAACTGATGATCTCTGGGTGGGGTCCCACTTTCCATTCTTCTCACTTGATGGTCCCAGGGATCTCTGCTCATGGGCTGCAAAATCAATCACTTCCCTCTTTTTGTCAAAAAACATCTACCTCTATATTTCCTACCCTCACAATCAGTCCTGATGGCAATTATTCAGTATTGTACCACAAGGGTCTTATCCCCATTTCCTTTCGCAGGCCCGGTCCCAACAGATTGGAAATGATTCAGTGGAGATTATACCTTCCTCTGCCCCATTTGGAACTAGGCTCCCTCTTGAAAGCTTGTAAGCCAGTCACTTCTTGCCTTTATAGCACACACACACACCCCATTTTGGGTAGTCAATGTCTAAGTTGCCCATCCCTGTCAACCCTGTGTTCCAAGGGGGTGGGAGTGAGCCTTGCTGTAAAGATTTGTTCCTTTTTTGAGCCATGACATCCGTAAGTATAGGTAAAGTTTGTCAAATTGTATCAGGTTACTCTTTTTTCTTGCCCCCACCCCCACCCCTTCTTTCTTCTTCTAGTTGAGTTCTGATCATCCAGCCTTCGAAGCCAGGTCAAGTGGGTATTATCTGCAAGTATGGGTGTTCTTGTGCATCTCCCCTCACTTCATATCAGCTGGACGCTTCACTCTGCACTCTAGTCCTCTGTGGCCATGTCACTTCCTCTGGGCCCAGGAATCCCTGCGTCTTGCCGTACTTCTGGCCAACCAGGTCTCCACCCGGGTTCTCAGGGATATTGAATGTGGTCGGGTTTAGCTCGCAACTTCATTGCTGTACCCCACCCCCACCCCCCATCTTCCCCTTATGGGTGACCAACATGGTCACCAGCAAGACCACATGCCTGCTCATGTTTTCCCCTTGAGTCTCATCTTGGAAGGGGATTTGCTCTGAGGGGTCCCGACCACTTGCCTTGATGGCTCCCAGGAGAACAGCTTACTTGTTCTTGTAGTAATCAGACTGCCGTTATTGTTTCAGATTTTTCCTGGCGGTCTTTCTTTCACGAAGTATCTTCTGTTCTTCTAACCATTCCAGGCTGGACTACTCGTCCTTTCCAGTGGAAATTTCCTACCTCAGTCTGTTCTGGATGGGGTTCTGGATTCCACCTATGGTCTTGTGCAATGTAAAGGCTCCACAGGAAGCCTCCTTCACTGGGCAACTTCTAGCCCCCTTTAAGATATTCCAATCAGTTATAGGCTGAAGACAGACTTATAAGCTTTCTATAGTGATGTTTCTGGCTATTCCTTTCCTCCCCCCAGCCCCACCCCCACCCCCCAAGTATCTATTTTACAATGGTAGGCAAGGGAAACCAAGATCCAAAAGACAGCCAAGCATCTTAATGTCATACTTCTGTGATTGACTAATGTTACTCAGCATAATGTCCTCCAGGTTTAACCATGCTGTGAGGTATTTCACAGATTTGTCGTATTCTGCAACATTTTGTAGTATTCCATTGTGTGTATGTACTAAAGTTTATTTAGCCATTCTTCTGTTGATGGGCATTTAGGCTGTCTCCATCTTTTTGATGACTCTTGAAGGAACCTGTTTTCTTATCCATTCTGCTCTGCTCTTTATGTCTTTTGACTGCCACGTTTAATCCATTTACATTAAGTGTGATTACTAATAGGTATAAATTGATTGTTGTCATTTTTCTAAGTGTTTTTGTGGTGCTGCTGGATTCTTTGTTCCACATAATTTTCTATGCTGAGTTCATATTGTTTGTGGGTTTTCTTTTTATTTTCATTTCTGTTGTGTTAATGTTTACTAAAACTTTCTGATTTTCCTCCTTTTTTGTTGATGTACAGATTATTATTATTCTTTGAGGTTACCCTGTAATTTATTGATTTTTTCCCCTGCTTAAAATAATCTGTTTTATCTTGAAATCTACTTGATTTTTTTTGCCATTTGGCAACTCTCTACCTACACTATTTCCTCTTTTTGCTTTGTAGCTGACTTCATTATACTGGCTGAGTAGTATTCCATTGTATGCATGTACCACATTATCCATTCATCTGTTGGTGGATATTTAGGTTGTTTCCATCTTTTGGCTATTTTGTATAGTGCTGCAAAAAACACTGGTGTGTAAATCTTTTTTTGAGTTTCTGCTTTCAGATCTTTTGGGTATATACCTAGGAGTGGAATTGCTGGGTCAAATGATAATTCTGTTTTTTAATTTTTTTTGTAGAACTGCCTCACTCTTTTCCACAACAGCTATACCATTTTGCATTCCCACCAGCAGTGGATAGGGGTTCCAGTTTCCCCACATCCTAGCTAAAATTTATTATTTTTGCTTGCATGTTGCTGTGATGCTGATAGTTACACCACTGGTAACTCAGAGACTAGCAGGATCAACTGCGGCAGACAGGTTTCAGTGAAGTTTCTAGACTAAGATAGATGTACTAGGAAGGAGAACCTGGTAATCCACTAATGCAGTTTCGTGTTTGGTATTAGTGACTTAGAGTTTCAATTTGAGTAATAGTTGTATTAAGAGTGGTCTTCCTTGCAGACATATGATATCATATTATCACTGACAGTGTTGTACCTCAAGATAAATCATGAAATGTTATTTTTAAATGATGAATATGATGCCATTCCTTTTCAAATTGTCATTCCTAGTATTGTAGACAATGGAATTATCTGATAGAAAATGGCCAATATCAGTCCATTTCAAGTCACTAATGCTTAGGATGAAATCCTGGTGTAGTGCTGTAGGATACACACTGCAAAGGAGCACACTGTCAGTTGGAACCACAAGGTAGGCAGTTAAAACTCACTAGCCTATCCTTGGAAACCCTGTATTGGGTTGCTATGAGTCAGGGCTGAGTCAAAGACACTTAACAACAACATCAATGCTTAGGATATTGATCTTCCTTTCACTTTTGTTGTTGTTAAGTGCCTTGGAGTCGATTCTGACCCATACCAACCCTGTGTAGGGTTTCTGAGAAGCAGCTGGTGGCTTGGATTACCAACCTTGCACTTTAGCTTCATTATTTAGGAGGGTTTTTTTGCATAAGATTGCTAAGAGTAGGAATCAGCTTAAAGATACTGACAATAACATTAAGGACTGCATTGACACTGGTTTTGTCTTAGGAGTCTACTGTTTCTACTTATTCTTTTTAATTGACAGATTCCTTCTTTCCTGTCTTCAGAGTATAAGCTTTTCAGCAATTCATTTCCTTTCTTTCCCACTTTATTTCCTATCCCTTTTTTCCTCTTTTATGAGCTACCTTTTAAAAGATACTTATTTTAAAAAAAAAAGATACTTGTAGCGTTACTGTTATTTCTGTTTGCTCCTAATTCTCTTTAAGACAGGGAGGGTTTCTTTGTTCAATGGCACAGTCTTGTCATGGTTCCTACAATGGACATTTTAATAAGGAGTTTACAATAAAAATAAAATTTAAACCAGCAAATACAATAAATTTCAGTTGGATAAAAGAGATTTGTTCATATATACATTGTGGCTATTGGAAATATTTTCCTGTGGTTGCTTTTGTGTTGCTAGCTCAGCAAACAACTTATACTGAAGGCTTACTTCAAAGCACTACTGCTGTTTTATGTTGGGGAATTTTCTTTGAGCAGACAATTAGGAAAATTGACAACTGCATTAACATTTTATGCACTTAGAGTAGATTGCCTTTGTCGTATGATGTCTAACTTTTTCTCCCCAAACTATAAAATACATCTGGAGAATTGCATTTGATATTTTTATGTGAATGAACCATATGATTAGTGTTTACTTATGATTTATTGAGACAAAATTGGTAATGTACAGTACTACAAAATAAGTATACTCTTAAAACATTTGGCATTCAGTTCCCTTTGAAACATGAAACTTGAATTAGAAGACTATAATTAAGCACTTTGGTTGTATTTATTTTTTACCTTTTGTTATATTTCTTGTTTATATATGCCAGAAAAATAGGTGGCCATTAGTCAGCCCATAACCTATATTAAGGTTTGCTTGTTTAATATACAGTTTGATGAAAGATAATTTGCAGGTAATCTTTTGTTACAGATTGAGTTGGTAGCTTTTTGTGTGAAGTTATAATCCAAGTGTTTATCTTTTTAAGAAGAAACCAAAACTTAAAGTATTCCCAAGTTACTCAAATTTTAATTTTTTAAAAATTTGTTTTAAAAAACTGATTTTGGACCATGAAATTTCCCACGCTTTCTAATTATGCCCTTTCAGCTTCAAAACAAAGTAGAAAATAGAAACTACATTAAGCAGAGAACTCCTGAGTTGCTAGTAATCCCTATCAAACTATTGTTGTGTGATCATAGATAAGGACACATTCAGTTTTTGCAGTGTGTCATTAATAAACTTTTTAAATTTGGGGAGAGAGCCAGCAAAACAGAGGCATAAATGGATACTTTGGTTTTATTGTTGTTTTAATATTTTTTTGTTAGGCCACCAAGTTAGAATTTTGCACTCTAATATGAATCATAATAAAAGGAAGTAGATGTTTGTAGTCATTACAGATGTGAACTAGCTGGCATTCAAAAAAATTTTAAGTGCATACTTAATTTTATATTTTAAAAAGTAGAAAAAGTTAGAACTAATGAACATTTAGACTCCTGGTGTGTCACTGTAGGATCAACGCTGGACTGTAAACCACAAGGTCAGCTGTTCAAACCCACCAGCTGCTCCTTGGAAACCCTTGTTGTTGTTGTTGTTAAGTGCCATCGAGTCGGGAACCCTAAACAGGAGCAATATGAGTTGAAAGCAACTGGACATCACTTAACAACAACAACAACAACAACAAGGATAAGCTTTTAATAACGTTACATATAGTATAGCCTATTGACTGAAAGGAGCTCTGGTAATGTAGTGGTTACGAATCGGGCTGCAAACCACAAAGTCAGCAGTTTGAAACTACCAGCTGTTCCGCGGGAGAATGATGAGGCAGTCTGCTCCCATAAAGATTTACAGCCTCGGAAACCCTGTACAGAGTCGCTGAGTCTGAACCGACTCCATGGCACACAGCCACCATTGACTGAAACATAGTTAAAATAAAAAAAGAAAGAAAATTACCAAATTCAAAATCAAAGAAATAGTTTCTCCTTGTTATTATTGTTAAATGCCGACAAGTGGAGTTCTGACTCATAAGAGTTTCCAAGGAGCTAGTGGTGAATTTGAACCGCTGACCTTGAGGTTATAGTAGTGCTTATCCTACAGCAGCACTCCAGGACTCCAGTCTCCCCTTAGGTTGTACATGTTAAGTGGTCTCTATTTAATTGCTCTCTCTGTCTCTCTCTCCATAGGTGTTTAAGAATGTGACTCTACAGGTTCCAGTGGGATTGACTATACATACCTCATTAGTATGTTTTGTGACACTGCTCATTACAATCTTGTGTTCTACTTTGATCCTTGTAGCTGTTTTCAAATATGGACATTTTTCCCTATAAGTTGAGCATTACCCATAAACCTAAATAAGACCTTTGTGACTAGAACTATTTTTCCAGAATTATGTGATTACTTTTGTCTTTTGATTTCATTTACTTTTAAAAATGTATTTAAGGAAATTATGGTTAAAATTATGTTTACTCAAGGAAACTTTGGCTTATTCTCAGCTGATTCCAAAATTTAGCGTTTTGTTGTGTAGATTCTTGATAATCCCCACACATAAAGGGCCCACATAAAGGAAATGTAATTTTGTTAAATTAATACTTATTTTGTGAGAAATGACTTTTTCTTCATTTTGGACAAATGAGACTAATTATCCTCTTTTTATGAATAGCAGCCTTTAAATTTAAGATAAATATTGAGAAAATAAGAATAAAATTATTTGGATAAATCAGTCTTATTTTAATTTCATGGGAATATTAAAGTATTCAGACTTTCGAAGAAAACTATTAAAATAGGTTTCTTAAGAAATGATTAATATAAAAATTGACTTTAAGATGACTTAAAGCATCTCCACTCCCCTTTTGCATTTTATAGTTGTTGGTTTTGTTTGTTTTTTAAGGTATGGATTGGCAAAGGGCTTAATGAAGCTAAGTACTAAGATTTAATGTATGCATCAAGAAGACAACTCAGATTGTCATTTTGAAGAGTATATTTTATTAAGTTGTACATTTACAAAAAAATGGAGTCTACGGTTTTTTTAGATAACTAAGGGTCTTGATTTAACATTATACTTGAGAAAAATAAAGAAAAGTAAATGTCATACACTAACTAAATAAAATTGTAGGGCACACATGTTCCAAAATAGAAGCCAATAAACCAAGTATATTGACATTGATTCTTTTATAGTGTAATGGGATGTAATAAACATTTATACAAGGCTAAGTCAGCTAGGTGACATCATTGATGGCGTCAAGTGTGGCGGCGGTAGTGAGGTTGGCCCAGGATCGGACATTGTTTTGTTCTTCTGTGCATGGGGTCACTATGAGTCGGTTCTGACTCGATGGCACCTGACAACAACAACAAGTCAAAAACTACTGCAACAAAATTATCAAAATGTGAAGCAATTATTTCTTTTTTTTTTAATTAAATGTTTTTATTTTGGATTGAGTGAAAGTTTACAGGGCACATCATCAGCTTCACATTCAACCATTCATATAGCTTGTTTCATTACATTGATTATTATC